AGAAAAGGAAGGAAGGAAGGAGGGAGGGAGGGAGGGGGGAGGGAGGGAGGAAGGGTCGGCACACAGCATGGAGAATACACTACACCCTCCAGAACTCCTTTCCCATCCCCTGTGCCTTCCTTTTTCCATCGCTGTCTTCCCTTTAGTACTCAATTCTACAAATGTCTTTGCTTCATCTTTATCTGGGTCGATTTGGTTGCTAAAGGAAAGATGGTGAGAGTCAGGGTACTCGGAGGGAAGAAGGACAGACAAGTGTTCTCCCAGGCCCTCAGGTCCTGGATTTGTTTGAGTGACATTGATAAAAGACCTTCCCAGCTTTTTTGACTCCATCCATCGGTAGAGATAGTCTGGAGACAGCCGGCCCAAATGTGAGGGAGGCCCCTGGCCTGCCGGCCCTTTGACGAAGCATGGGGCCTGGCTCCTATGCTGGCTAGAAGGCAGACAGACAATGAAGGGAAGTCAGATAGCAGGGGCAGGCTGGGGCCAGGGGGAAAAAAACCACCCACAGAGTTATCACTTCCCGGGAATCCCAAACTGGAAGGAAGCCCCTCTGATTCCTTATCTCCTGGCAGCATGGGGACCTATGATGAATTGCTCTCTGTTGTCTCCCAGACAGAGCCAGCTTGGCTTCCCTGTCACAGCAGGTCCCTTTGGGAGTGGGGGTGAGGGGAGGTAAGGAGGGCAGAGGTTTCTAGAAAGGCAAAGGTTTCTTGGAGGGTGCAACTGCTTGCACCCCCAGCTCATGGGCCAGGCCACTCACAAGCTGGGCAACTTCAGGAAAATTTCTCCATCTGTCTGAGCTCCAGTTTCCCATATGAAGGGATGGAAGGGAGGACTCTTCACCTTCTTATCTCCAGCCAGGCCCAAAGTCCTGGTTCCACTCAATTCTCCAGCTCTGAGACACCACAACAGGCCACACAGCCCGCAGTCACCTCTCAACAGGTGTCTGGTGTCACTCCTGTGGCCTCCTATCACAGCAAAGTGATGCTTCTAAACACAACAACTAGCCTTGACACTTGCAGGCTGCTGACCCTCCAACAGCCTCCTAGTGGTGTTCAGATAACACGAGGTCCTTAACAAAAATGGCGTAGGAGGTCCTACCTTTCTCTCCGGGCCTCATTCTCCACTCTATTCCCGCCTCTGGGTACCAGCATCCCAGCTTTCTCCCCTCCCACCTCCTAGCTGCTTTCCTCTGACCTTTCCACTTTCCTCTGACCTCCTGGTCAGTTCTTCCACATCTAGTATGATGCTCCTGTTTTGTATTCATTAGCGTTTCACATCTCTCCTTTAGGGCATCCAAGTACAACTGTGTGTGTGTGTGTGTGTGTGTGTGTGTGTGTGTGTGTGTGTATGTGTGTGTGTTCATGTTTGCAGGTAAACGTGCTGTATGCATGTGGAAGACAGAGGTCAGCCTCAGCTGTTACCCTCCAGTGCCGCCCACCTTGTTTTTGGAGACAGTGTCTCTCATTGGCCTAGAACTTGTGGAATAGACAAAGCTGGCTGACCGGCAATCCCAGTACCTTCTCGGCACTGAGATTATGAATGTGTGCCAGCATGACTGACTTTTTTTTAATCCTGGTTTTGGAAAATCAAGCTCAGGTCCTGATGTTGGCAAGGTGAACAATTTACTAACTGAATGAAATATCACCCTAGCCCCCACTCACAATTTCAATTAAACAATTCTTAAACCACTTGCACAATACTCGTTCTTCTTGGAACAGCATGTGGTCCATGAAGGGCAGGAAAGGGGTCATGGATATTTCCAGGGTGCCCAGATGTTTCAGTAACATTATGGACACTTTCCATGGATTCTATCATCTCCTCACTAGCCTGACAGTAAGAACTAATGTGATCCTCAACTTCATGAAAGGTAGTCAAGGGAGCCCAAGGGAAGTGAAGTGACCAGAGTCACCCAGCTGCAAATCGTCAGTGACTGGAGTAATTTCTGCAACAAGCAGACCCCAAGCCCAGCCAGAGTTGATCCTAAGTTCATCTGGCAAGCCTGTGGACGTCCCCTGAAAGTCATATAATCAAAGAGGTTGGTGCACCTGGCATTGGAACTTTCCCACTGCCTCCTTGAAGAAGATGTGTCTAAGGGTGCAGCTGTAAATACTGAACCTAAAACGGAGCTTTGATTCTTTTCAACTTCTTCCTACTCTTTCTTTTCTTTTGGTCTGGCATTAATTTAATGTACAGAGCTCCCTAATGCAAACCTGGTGAGCTCATTATCGGCATGCATGCCCCAGTATCCACAGCAGATCTCCTGAGGGAGATGACATTTTGAAATGGATAGTGGATGAGAACACAGACAGGAGACCATGGTGCTAAGGACACAGGCTACTGAGTTCACAGACAAGACTGGAGTCCAAACTCTACCTCATGAACCACTGGTCAGCCAGGCATAGTGATACATGTCTGTAATCTCAATACTTTGGAAACTGAGGCAGAAAGATTGTGAGTCCAAGTCAGCCTGATCTACACAGCAAGTTTGAGGTCAGCCTGGGCTCCATAGTGAATCTGAGGCCAGCCAGAGCTACATAGTAAGTTTGAAGCTATCCTGGGGATACATTGTAAAACTCTGTCTTAAAAGAGAAAAGCCCACCAGCACCTTTCTAAGCCTCAGTTTCCCAACTGTAGGTAGGTTAACAGAACCTACTGAGCAACATTGTTTGAAAGAACAACAACTTGGTCAAGGTCCAAGCCAAGCAAGGACTCCCTTCAATGTGACACCAAGCAGGATGTCTGAGCAGGATCAACGCTCTTCCCCTCTCACAGAGCTGAGGGAGCAGATGCACTTACTGCATCTGGTCTCCAGCCCCCCTGGCAGCGGATGTACAGAGAATTGGGCTGGAGGCTGTTGGAGTGACATTGTTCAGACCTTGAAGATGCAAGAATTTTTGAAGGGTTTGGGTCCATCTGGAGGTCAGGCCTCATCCCCATGCAAGGACCAATGCCAGCACTTCTCCCCTTCCAAACACAAGCTGAGTAAGTTAGGAATAGTCAGGCCACAGTTCCTTCCTGGGGGATGCCTAGCTCCAGAGAGCTCTGCTAAATAACCATGCCTTGTTATCGAAGCCTGCAGGCCAATGGCTTACCTAAGATCCAAAAACCAGCCCCTGGGTTTCTGGAGGTGTTGAGCTGGCACTGAGTGTAAGGGTTAGACTATGACGCAGGCCTTACAAAACTATGAGCAAAACAATTGTTGCTGACTGAGCCCACCTGGGCAAGCACATGGCACATGCATAGTCCTTTGGACCCATGGTATCTTCACACCAAGTCCATGAGGCCTGTCCCAACATGAGCCCAAATTACAGTTTTGTTTTAAAAAGAGAGAGAAGAGAAAGGTTAAGTAACTAGTCCATATTCATAAGAACATCCCACTGCCAAAGCTGGGCTGCATCCTCGGGTGTCTGACCCTGAAGACCACAGATTGAAAGCTCCTGTCACCCTGTCCCCTTGGCATGGCTCTCCTCCAGACACAGCCAATTGCTCATGTCCAACTGTGACCCAGTGTCTATAGTGATTACCTGCTGCCTATCTGATCATAGCTGCCACCTGCTGGGTGCTGACCAGGCATCAGGGACTCTGGGGCACCTGTCACCATTTACACTGAAAAGCTCCGACGGTATCACTTTGGAAGTGGAGGCAGGAGGACTGCAAGTTCGGGCCAGTCTAATACTATACAGTGTGTCTTTGCCTCAGTACAAACAAGCACGTGTTGAGCCAGACCTGAAAGCACATGCCTGTAATCTCAGCCTTAGGGAGGCTGAGGCAGGAGGATCACAAGTTCCAGGCTAGCCTGGGCTACATAGTGAGGCCTTGTCTCAAAAGAAACATAATCACACTGCCCATGTTAACCACCTTGATTCTGCCTCTCAAAAGGAGCCAGCAGAAGTTTCCTTTCTTGATACAGACCCTTCCGACTCAGCTTGGGGAAACGTGCATTTTTCATTTGAAGAAACTGCAGTGTCAGAGACACCACCAGCCTTGGTAGATCAAGAGAGGGAATGCCAAGGGGAGCCAGCTGTGGCCGTGTGTGCATGTGCGCGCGTGCGTGTGCGTGTGTGTGCACATGTGTGCGTGTGTGTGTGTGCGTGTGTGTGCATGTGTCTGTGTGTGTGCATGTGCATCTGTGTGTGCACGTGAGTGCTTGTGTGTGCATGTCTGTGTGTGTGCGTGTGCATGTGGGTGTGTCTGTGTGCGTGCATGTGTGCGTGTGTGTGCGCGTGTGTGTGTGCATGCTTGTGTCTGCATGTGTCTGTGTGTGCGTGTGCATCTGTGTGTGTGTCTGTGTGTGCGTGCATGTGTGTGTGCATGTGTGTCTGTGTGTGCGTGTGTCTGTGTGTGTGCATGTGTCTGTGTGTGTGCGTGTGCATCTGTGTGTGCGTGTGTCTGTGTGTGTGCGTGTGCATCTGTGTGTGCGTGTGTGCGTGTGTGTGTGCATGTGTGTGTGCACGTGTGTGCATGTGTCTGTGGGTGTGCATGTGTGTGTGTGCATGTGTGCCTATGTATGTCTTTATGTGTGTATATATTTACATGTGTAGATGTGTGTTTATGTGTGTTTGTATATATATGTATGTGTGTAGATATATGTCTGTGTATATGTATGTACGTGTGTGTACACGTCTATGTGTATGTGTGAATATATGGGTGTGGTGTGTCTGTGTGTGTATGTGGTGTGCATGTGTGTATGTGTGTGTGGCGTGTGAGTGCTACACATATGCATGCCTCACAAATGAGGAAAAGAAACTTGGACATTCCAGGGAGGAGGCTGGGATGGAGATACAGATGAAAGGAACTTCTAGTTTTATCTGTATGGCTTGAACTTCCTATTGCTTCTATATTTTATGTTACCTACTTCCTTAAAAATACATAAATGTCACTGTACATACCAACCCCCAAAGGAGGAAAGCTGTGAGGAGGAGGAGGCTGTGAGGAGGAGGCTGTGAGGAGGAGGAGGAGGAGGAGGAGGGGAAGGCTGGCAGGCCTGTCATGCTCACCTTTCCTCTTGGTGCAGTGGTAAATTTGGCTGTGCTCCTGGGGCAGTGGGTATGGGTTGGGCGGGGGCAGAAGGTCCTGGGAGGGGCCAGAGACACCATTCTCGCACTGGTACTGGGACCCTAAATTGGATGAGGTGGAGAGAGCTCGAGGCTCGCTGCTGAAGGGACTGTGGTTGGAGGCCACTTTTTGCCTCACTGTGCTCCTGGGAACCACGGGGTATTCTTTACTGAAAGAAAAAAAGACAAAAAGTTATGTTTGCTCGTGCTCTGATGCAGATTCTCTTACTGGTTGAGCCATGTGCCAAAGAATCCACCAGAAAAGTCACCAAATAAACAAAAAGCCTTTAATGAGCAAAATGACCCAGTTACACTCGTGGGCACCATGTGCCATAAACGCATATGGGGACACTAATTTTCATGTCTTATACATTAGGCAAGTAGGTCTCAGTCACAGAGGAGCAGAGGAGCATGTAAGAACCCTTTCCACCAGCAAGGCAGTAGAAGTATTTCAGCCTCATCCACTATCTTTGGATCGCCTAATGCAGAAGCTAAATGAGCTGTCCAGCTATTAGACTTAACCTCTATAAACTGGGAGTGGGTGAGACGGCTCAAGGGGTGGGGGGACTGAGCTTGCCACACAAGCCTGGCAACCCCAGTTGGATCCCTGGAACCCATGTAAAGGTGGAAAGACAGAACCAACTCAAGAGTTTTCCTCTGACCTCCACATTTGTGTCATGGCATGAGCACATACATCAAACACACTCTGATAATAATAAGAATGGTAACAATAATAATAACTTTTAAAAAACGCACCCTCAGTTCCAAGTGTTGTTGAGAGAAGAAAGGAACAATGAAAACACTTAGAGAAGTACACAGCACACAGCAAGTACCAACCATTCTCACTGCTGCCACTGTTTTAGGGAGGAGGGGAAGGAGCGAGAGAGGAAGGCAGAGGAGGATAAAGAAGGTGGAACACAGGGCCTGAGATGAGGCAGGTCCCCTGTGCATCCCCTTGCCAGGGTACTCTTCTGAGCAGCCTGCTCAGCCACAGCATCCACAGTGTCTTCCTGCTCATCATCCTCCCAAATCCTCAGAGTCTTGTCCTTCCCTCAGTGAGAATGTACTCAGTTGGTAGAGTGCTTACCCAGCATGCATGAAGCCCTGGGTTCTACCCCTAGCACTATATAAACCAGGTGTGGTGGCATACAGTTGTAATCCCAGCAATCAGGAGGTAGAGGCAGGAGGATCAGGAGTTCAAGGTCAGCCTTGGCTACATAGTAAGCTCAAGGCCACCCTGGGCTACATGGAATTCTGTCTTAAAAAAGAAATCTGACCCCTCCCACTCTCAAGGTTGCTCTTCATATTCCCTTCCAGGCTAACATTCCCACTGGGTCCCTATAAAGATTTGGAATCCTCAGTAAAAAGCTTTTCTAGGAAGGAAACAGGGATCCTGAGGTGTACCAGGAACCCCAAAGGGAAGCAGGGGTGGGGGTATATTGGAGGTGAGTTGAAGCAGAGGAGGGAGGAAGAGACAACTTAAAGACGAAAGAGGTAAGAGGGAACTTGGAACTCTTCTCACCCTTTTGAAATGTATAATGCTGAATCCTTTAAATTTAGGCAAGTACCAAAAGTCAATTAAAAGTTTTCAAAGCATAAGTAAAAAACAAATGGAGAGATTTTTCTGAGTGTTCAAGATGAGCACAGCAGGAAGGGGCTGCCAACAGTCAGGGCGGGCAGAGAAACCAGATTGGGCCCTTGCAAAACACCTGCTATTCTGTCAGTCAATGATTTTTTAAATTAGTTATTATTTTTTAATTTTAAGTGTATGAGTGTATTGTCTTATGTATGTAAGTGCACCCGTGTTGTGCAGTGTCCAAGGAGGTCAGAAGAGGATGTCGGATCCCATTACTGGAGTTATGGACAGTTGTTAACCACCATGTGTGTGCTGGGAATCAAACCTGGGTCCTTTGCAAGAGCAGGCAGTGCTCTTAACCACTGAGCCATCTCTCCAGTGCCGCATAGATTTTTTTTAAGATTTATTTTATTTTTATGTGTATGAGTGTTTGCCTACATATATATGTGTATATATATACATATATATACATATATATAAATGTACCACATGTGTGCAGTGTCCACAGGGTCAGAAGAGGGTGTTGGATCCCCTAGAACTAGAGTTACAGATGGTTGTGAGCTGCCATGTGGATTCTGGGAACCAAATCTGTGTCCTCTGCAAGAGCAGTCAGTGTTCTTAACTGCTGAGCCATCTCTGAAGCTCCTCAAAGCTATTTTGATAAGCAGAGGATGTAGCTCACTGGTAGAGCACTTACTGGTAGAGCACTTGCCAAGCATGTACAAGGACATGAGTTACAACCCAGCACTGTGAAAAAAAACAAACAAACTAGTATCTGTATAGCTGTGTGTATTATGGTGCATGCCTATAATCCCAGCACCCAGGAGGCTGAGGCAGGAAGATCATTTTAAATTCAGGGCCAACCTGGTCTACATAAAGAGTTCCAGGCCAGGAGCAAAGTGTGGTAGTGCATGCCTTTAGTCCCGGCATTCAGGAGGCAGAGGCAGGCTGATCTTTGTGAGATCAAGGAAAGTCTGCTCTACATAGTAAGTTCCATGCCAGCTGGGAAAACAATTTTTAAAAAACAAACCAACAAAAAACACCTTTTTGGCCAGGCATGGTGACACACACCTTTAGTCCCAGCACTCGGGAGGCAGAGGCAGGTGGATCTCTGTGAGTTCAAGGCCAGTCTGGTCTACATAGTGAGTTCCGGGTCAGCTGGGGCTACAGAGAGGCCCTGTCTCAAAAGGAAAAAAAGGAAAAAAAGAGTTCTAGGCCAGATTGGGCTATAGGAAAGGTCCTGTATCCAAAAAAAAAACCCAAAATAATAATAGTAATAATTTGATAACTATATTTCAACATGATTAGAGTCCTTCCTAACCTGAGTTTTATTTTGTGAAATTAATCATATTATTCTGAGAAATTCATAAACTTCAATACTCAGCCAGAGACCCACTGAATAGGTTAAGAACCAGTTCTGCCCCCAAACTCATGCGGATCAGGAAATCCCAAACTTCAGGATTTTTGCCATTACCTAGAATTAAAAGTTCCCTAGTGCCAGGCATGGTGGCACAGTCCTCTATTCCCAGCAATTCAGGAAGTAGAGGCAGGTGGGTCTCTATGAGATTGAGGCCAGCCTTGTCTACATAGTGAGTTCCAGGCCAGCTGGGGTTATAGGAAGACCCTGTCTCAAAAAAAAAGTGTTCCTTAAGACATTTTTGAAGATAACTTTTTATTCAAATACACTTAGTCTCACTATGAGCAATTGTATCTGTGAAATTATGGGCTTGGGGTACTAACTTAGTTCCTCTAATGTAACTAAAATAAATGTTGACCTGTTAAAATTAGAGCGTGCCTGGGACTGGGGATGCAGCTCAGTAGTAGAGTGCTTGCTTAGTATGTATGAGGCTCTGGAACCCATGCCTACCACCATAGTCAATCAATCAATCAATCAATCAATCAATCAATCAATCAGTCAGTCAATGGTCTGGGGATGTATCTCAGTGGCAGAGCATTTGCCTAGCATGCATGAGGTTCCAGGTTCAATCCCTAGCACCACAATAGATAGATGTTAGAAAGATGATAGAGATAGATAGATAGATAGATAGATAGATAGAT